TGAATCAGATCCTCCCAATCCAGTTAGCTGCCAAGCCAGATTGGTGTTACCGATCCTCCCTGTAGAACGGATTTATGCGTACCTGACTCGATTGGCATCTTTTGATGATAGTTTCTTTTCTGGATCAAGCGTTAGCTAGTGTGACTGTCGAAAGCCATACTACTTCACCTACTCGGGATTTTTACTATGCAGGTCCCCTGCTTGTAGATCCTATCAAGATTTATTTGTATAATGTTACGTTCTCTGAACATTCCGTCATACTTCCAATATCTGAATGATATTGGTGCAACGTGATTTACAGGGTTACAACCCCAGAAACGGAATAAAGCATACTTTATGAAAGTTTCAATTTAGAATTCCTAATATAAAAATAAATTTTACCTATATATGTATATATATTAGTATTTTTAACTTTAATAAAAAACATTTTTACTAGAGTTCTGCAAATGTCTATGCTAGGCAAATTGGCACTATGCCAGACACTAGTGCCTTATGCCATGTTCATACCTATAGGCTCAAAAGTGCTAGGAATTATTATAAGCATAAGCTCAAATACTAGATATTTTTATAATCATAGGTACAAATACAAGGTACTTTATAGGCATAGACACAATATACTAGATAAAAAGATACTAAAAAATGTCAGACACAAATGCCAAATAGTATCAAACATATAATTAATTAATAAATACTAAATTTTTATGCCTATACCTATGTCTATACCAAGTTTTCATACCTGTGAGTACCTGTACCTATGCCTATGCCAAATTTTTATACTAGTATTCATTCTTATACCAAAGCTTTCATATCTATGCCCATACCTGAATTTTTGTTAGGTATAGGTATGAGCTCGGGTTGCAAACTCCTAATTTTTACTATTTTTACCTATTTATGCAATTTCAGAAGTACTCTCGATGAGGAGACAATAAAATTAGTCAAATGTAGATTTTTTTTATTTACTCTATAATTGTTAATTATTTGAGATGCAGTATATTATATCTTCATTTTAAAGTAACACATCCACTTGATATATCCAAAAAAGCACACCAACACTATAACTATACAATTGATAAACTACTTTAACAAGCATATTATACTAGCGATCATAAGTAGTGCAACAAAAAAAAAATTTTACTTAGATCATATTACCTCATACAATTCTGAGCGTATCAGTTAGTTTATTTTTATTTTATTCATAAATAGTGCCTTTTTCTAATTTTAGAATTTTATTAGCCATTATTAATACTAATGCAAAAATAATCATGTGTGTATTGTGAAATATGTGTTGTATTACTTTTGCTTGTTTTTAACAAGGATCAGATCACGTGATCTGTATAACATAAATATATTTAAAAATGTAAATCTTATTGTTGATTTTGCATCTTGTATAATGCTAGAATTTATTAATAATCAAAAAAAAAAAAAAGCTGAACAACTCCTACTAAATAAGCCCAAGTATTACTTTCACTTCAGAAAGGGTACATAACAAGGGCAGTAGGTTAGGCCCATAATATTTCTTTTTCTACAGTCTCATGAATTAAAAAAAGATGGTTAACAAACCGCTCACTTGAAGATTTAGCAAGAGTAGGTCACCTAACTTCATTGGATGAACCAACCCAAAGAAGAATAGTGAACCTTATTACCTCCTATAGGTGCTTTCCTGCTGTTGAAGTGAGAGCTCACCTCATGAAAAATGAAAATATAGCAATTTCAGTGTCTACTATATGCTATATACTTCAAAACCATGATTTAGTGTCAGAGGTAAAAAAAAAAAAACCATACCTGAGTGACAGTTATCAAAAAACACAGCTCACTTTTGCAAAAAAATATGAAAATTGGACTGTCGAGAATTGGTCTAAGGTAATCTGGTCTGATGAATTTAGATTTCAGATTTTTGGATCAGATGGTAAGCAATACTATTGGAAGCATTATGGAAAACTATTAAACAAGTTCCACATGAAGCCTACTATAAAATTTGGAAGCAGTTCCATTATGATTTGGGAGTGCTTTAGCTCTCATGGTGTCAGTAGCTATTGTAAGGTTGATGGTATGATGGATGGCAACTTGTATCAGCAGATACTTCATGAAGACCTGATATGGACGATCAGGGAATAAGCATTTGATATTAAGGAAGTTACTTTCCAACAAGATGAAGCAACTTGCCATACAGCAACTTTGATAGAATATTGGCTTAAGAGGAATAAGATTAAGTTCTTTGATTAGCTCCCCCAATCCCCTGATCTTAACCCGATTGAAAACCTGTAGGACGAAATCAACTGTCAGCTGAGAGATCTCCCAGGACAAATTTCAAGTGAGATGGATCTTTAGAAAAAAATCCAGAAAGTCTGGCAGGCGATTGATGTTGAAACCTGCAAAAGACTAATTCGTTCAATGCCAGAACAAATTCGTGCTGTAATTAGAGCTCGGAGTAGTTACACCTGATAGTGAAGGTGGAGAATTTTTAGATAGAATAAAAAAATTTTTTTTTTTTATGTAAAAAAATTTTTTTTTGTTTTACAGTCGTGTTGCTGTAAAAACGAGCAAAAGTAATGCAACACGGTATTTGAAATAAAGCTCGTGCCTGTGAAAAATTTTTTTCATTAAATTTTTTTAATTTTTTTATTGATGAAAATGTTGTTATTAGTGAATAAAATAAAATAAAAAATAGCCGATACGCCCGGAATTGCGTGAGGTAATATGATCTAAGTAAAATTTTTTTTTTGTTGCACTACTTATGATCGCCAGTGTAGTTAATTATTGATTAGATTAATTATTACGGACATTATTAGTAAGATAGTGATTACGCATAGATCACTTTTAAGTCAAGATTAAAGCCACCCTTATGGATATCATAATACATCCGATCAGTACCCCGTTAACTATTGGAGCTAAACCGTGCAACGATATCCGCTCTCCCAATTTACAATAGTAACAATGTGTGTGATTTTGTGATTACGTACTTAAAATGTCTAAAATATCAAATCCAAGAATCACAAATATTTAAGTATATATTATTGTTTTAAAATTACCTTATATATATTAGGTCACCTAGAAAAATAATTAGAAATTGCCATAAGTGCGCTACCTCCATATATGCACTTAAAGCAATAATTATTTTCTAATCGCATACAGTGAATCTATCAGTGTATTGCGAATAAACGAATAGGTATATTATGCCCTATTTCACCCCTTTTCTGTCTCGAATTTTTTTTTTTTTACTCTAACTAATTCTCCACGATGTTGTTTTCATTAAAACTTTATTTAATAACTATTAATACATTAATTCTCCCAATAATTGCTCAAAGTAATGTTTAATTAATTCATTCTTTCTAAAAACGACATTTCAATTTTTGATTTATTAACGTGTATTTGAACAATTTTTTATGTTATAGGTCGTATGTATACGTGTAGCTTTATATATAATATATCATTGTGTCTTTTTTCATATAAATCTCGTTTTGATAAATTTGAGCAAAGTTATATAAAAATTTTATCAGATATTTTTGAATTTCTCATGACTATTGTAAATGTCTTATCTACTTTTAGTTAGCACGTCAGAAATAGGATACATACTAACTACAAATAATTTAACAATATTATCGTATTATCAAATAAATTTAAACGTTACGTACGTAGATCGTAAGTACTAAGTTCATGCTTTTAAAAATATAACTTGCATTTACGATAAATTGTCTTTGGCATTATATTTTAATATACGTATTACAAAGCGACTCAAAAATTTGAACGACGCAATGAAAATAGACATAAAAGAGCTCATATAAAAAGTTATTATTACGAAAATTATCATAAAAGGTGAGCCATGTTTAGACTAGCATAAAATATAGAACTAAATTTGTACATAAAGTTTATGTTAACTTCATATTTATACGTATCGTTATGCAGAATTAACAATGATAATATTGAGTTAATGCCTCGAAATACTCCAACAAAGAATCCAAGTAATATATTATCCATCTACTTTTTCATTCTATGTTAATAAAAGAAAATAAATAAATAACAAATATTATTAGAGATCTGTATTATTGGTGCGGGAACATCTGGTATGTATTCTTTTTCAATTTTCTTAATTTATTTTATTTGCTTTATTTATAAATTTACTGATTAATACACACTACTAGGCCTATTCACAGCCCTTCTTTTGAATGAGGCTGGTATTAAAAATGTTACCATTCTTGAATATCAAGGTCGTGTCGGTGGACGTTTTCATACTCATTATTTTACTGAAGATCCTAATGATGAAAGACGTTTATATGGCGAACTTGGTGCAATGAGATTACCTTATATTGAAGGTCGTCCGGATCTCTCACCACATTAATTAGTTTTTGATACAATTGATTATTTGAATGAATATAATAAGTTTGATAACCCAGATAAAGAAATCCAAACTATTAATTTTATATATAGTAATCCAAAGTGAGTAAATTATTTAAGAACAACTTATATTAATATATATTTAATTTAATTGGAAAAGTTTTAACCTTTAAAATCTCTATATTTTAACAGCGGTTTATATTATTATAATAATAAAAAAGACTCAAATGGTAAAATGATAACAAAAGCTTACTCTACGACTGTTAATATTAGTCAGTTAGGCTTTCCTGATTCAATTCCAGATAACTATGTTGGTCTTTGGAATGAGGCATTATTGCCTTTTTTTTTGGAACTTGATATAGATTTTACAAAAGGTCTTAAAGCTTTAAAACGTTATGACCAATATACTGCTTATTCTTATTTAAAAGAAGTTTTTCTTCCTGCAAAATTACCAACAAAATGGGAAGATTATGATGAGATTATTAGTGCTATTGAAATGCATGAAATGGGAATAGGTATTTTAAATATGGAACTTAGAATTTATTATCTATTTATCAATTAAATGCTTATTAATTGATTTATTAATTAATTTAGGTGAATTTAAACTTGGCTTCGTTGATTTGGCCATGGAGGCATATACTTTCGGTGATCCTAACTATAATAATAGTTGGAAAACTATTGACAAAGGAATGCAACGATTACCCAATGCTTTTTTATCATTGATTAAGAAGGCAAATTATAATTTAAAATATAATTCTGAAGTTTATAAGTTGGAAAAGACCGATGATGGTCGAAATGTTAAGGTATATTGGAAAACTAATGGAATGGAAGAATCTGACGTTTTTGATAGAGTAGTTGTCACCGCTCCTTTGGGCTGCGTCCGTCACTGGGATTTACCTTCAAGTATGTTTCTTAAATAGTTATTTCATTACTATTACTTATAAAAAAAAAAAAAAATTTTTTTAAATAGCATTATCATATGATAAGCGACGCGTAATACGTGAATTAGATTATTTAAATGAAGGAAGAATATTTTTACAATTTAAGAGTCGATTCTGGGAAAAATCTCCTCTCGATACTGGTGGCATACAGACGACCTCCAATATTGGTATTGTAGGTGGAACCTCGTCAACTGATCTTCCTGTTCGTACTGTTGTATATCCTTCATATTACGTAGGTCTACCTGAAAATGGCTCTGGAGTATTACTAGCTTCCTATACTTGGGATAATGATGCAACCAAATATAGTGCGTATACTGAAGAGGAACGCTTTGAACTTGCATTAAAGGATATAGTAACTCTTCATGGAGAAATTGCAAGAAAAGAATGGATACCTGGTAAAGAGAATAATAAGGCGAGATATTGGACAAATGATAAAACTGTTGCTGGAGGAGCTTATGCTAGATATGGGGCAGGACAATTAGAATATTTGATGGGTGCAATGATGAGATCTGAAGATTTTATTCATTGGGCTGGTGAACATACTGATATACATAATGCTTGGATTGTTGGTGCTTTAAATTCTGGTGTTAGAATTGTTAAAGAAATATTACGAGAAAATTTGATGAATGATGAATGGTTGAAATTAAAAAATATGAAATTGTTAAAATATTGGAATGGAAATCTTAATGATTATAAAGGATATTAATATCTATTAAAATTTACAAAATGCACTTCTCATAAACTGTTATTCTATATATTCAATAAATATATAAATTTGTAAAATTTATTACCCTTTTTTATTTAATACATGAATTCCTGAATACAGTTTGTTTTGAAGACAATGACGATATTCATTCTTCGAAACTTTTAGGATTTATAAAAATTTTTTTGAAATGTTTGAAAATTGAAAACCTTATATATGCAATTTATTATTTCGAACAACTTTACTTAAGACATAATATCAAATATATTAGTAAAATTTAACTTAATATATATAACTACAATTATCAATTATATTTTAATTTTTTTTGGTAGCCAATTCTGATTGGCCAAAGAGCATTAGAATATTAATTAACATATGTTAAATGATCTTCTAGGTTCATTTAGTCTTCGAAATGACCCAATGACTAGTCATTTGTCATTTGGGTCATTTCAGGTCATTTACCATCACTATGTTATTGTGCTTATGATCTTTAACTGTAACATAAGGTAAATAGATATTTTTACTATATATAAATTAAAAATGCTTATATAAAACTAGCATATGTTTGATTTTATTAAATAATTGTTCTCCCAATATTAACATATCACACGCCACAGTAGTGCACTAATCTATGCATATACTAAATGCAATACTCTTAATGTCTTCCGTGACGATATTGCGCAGTTGTCTTATTTATTTATTATTATGTACTGTACATACGAAGCAAAATTTTAAGCCTTCCACAATTTACTACATTTTTATGATAAAATAACGATAACAGATAATTGAAGCAATGTTTAAAATTATTCAGAAAAATATAATACTATTTATATAATACTATTTAGCCACTATGGCGCTATATGCTTAACTTAAATATTTGAGGCTTTATTCAAAAAGCCTCAGAGCTTTGTTTATTTATATACACTGTATATAATTTTTCAATCACTCAACAAAAATTAATGCTTTAACAGCCACTATACATGCCTCAAAACATTGAATTTTTTTTTTGTTTACCCACTGTAACTCGGCCTTTTTTTTTTTTTTTTTATTTACTATTCGTTTTATCTTTCGCCTTTCTCCAGAGATTTCGCCATTCGCCAAGGGTTTCGCCTTTCGCCAAGGTTTCGTCCTTTCGCCTCTTAGGTTTCGTCTTTCGCCATTTTCGTAAAACAGTTACGCCTAACAACTATAGTCCTGACAAGCCACATTACCATTTATTTAGATCCTAACTCGACAAATCTGTCATTCCAACCGGCCATTCAAAGCCAACGAAAGTCTAATTCACATTTACACTTATATAATATGTATTACCTCATGCTTACATCATTGTTAATGCAATAAATATTACCGTTACCTCTTTCTCATATGACTATAGTTTTATAGAATTTCAATACTTTTTGTATTAGAATAGTTTTTGATTTGTACATACTGTATATGAAAAAAAAAAAAAATATGTTCGTTGTACATATATTCATAAATTTGACAAATGCGTATTACCCGTAAGTACAATATTTACTACTTAATACTAACATTTTTTGCAATTCATTTTTTTTTTTCTTTTGCAAATTATACATACAATCATTAGATCTGACTGTACCCAGTCTTTACAACTTGTACCAGATTCGCTAAACTTTCCGGTTATATAGCATGTTTCAGATTTCATAAAAACGTATCAATAATCTAAAAAAAAATTTTTTTTTATGACCTATAAAAATTAATTGACAAAATTTTATCTGAAACATGCTTGCAGTAGATGAAGCTGCAGGAGTTACTGTTCAAAATGGTAAGTTTGATCACTGTATAGAGAACAACTCTGTGTGGTTATACCGAATATGACAAGTGCATGCACGTACGTACGTGCGTAAATAAGCAAAGTAATAATGATCAACAATTAGATAATCTTTAAATTTTAGACGTTTTCTCAGTAATGTTCCCCGAGCTGCGTCCTCCAATTAAAATTTTTTAAATCATTACATTATAAATCGGAGGTTTTTAAATGGCTGGAATTTTTTTTTAGAAAATACTTTGTGCATACGTTATTTTATTTGATTTTAACCTTATTAATGTCATGTGAAATTAATTTGTACGTATTGCAAAAAAATTAATAATTTTAAAGTTTGTATGAAACGTTAGTACACCAAGGTCAATTATGACGTATTAACAAACAATTCTAAACTTTATCTTCGCTCCTCATTGAAATGATACAAGATACAGTACCTTAGTTTATGAAAAGACTACAATCATTTGTTCTGTTATTGGATTCTGCTTTATTATTCTGTCATTCTGCTGTCATGAAACATATATTAAAGATTAATAAACGTTGACATTCCCTCGATTATTACTCATGTGATTGGTTGATCATATGAATTTACTATCTTTTTATGATTGGTCATATAATGTGGCACCATATGATTGGCTTATCGTATTATGTAGGATTTGTCGATCAAAACTCTTTCGTACACTATGTTTCCGGATTTTTATTTACTAATTAAATTTATGTAATTCAGGAATTCGATTTATTTTGTAATAAAAAAAGTTAGTATATTTCAAAGTTTAGTTTTTAGTAATTTATTTGTCAAAATCTTACATAATTCTATATGTAACACAATAGGGTTAGGTATTAGCGTGATTATAACTATTGTATTTTAACCTAATGTATCATAGTTATTAATTTCATGCATAAATTTAAGGTTCTTTTCAAAATAGGCGACGCCAAAAAAGAACCAAACTTCTGACTTTTAAATTAATTATTTACCTGTATATTATAAATTTAAATTAAAGTCTGGTTTTCCTTGGCGTCACCCAAATAATTTAAAACTTTATTACTTTAAATATTCAATAAGTCAAATGTTTTACTAGCAGGTAATATCTGTATCTTGTCTTCTAAATAAAGTGTCTCTAGATTTAGAATTCTTTGAGCATAACATGTTTTAATAATAAGTCATTCAATAATTAATGTTGCAGGTCAAATAGTATATGATTCGAGATAAAATTATTTCAAAACGCTCATCACCTCTTTATATGTAAAGCCAATCAGATCGCAGGATCTTGTGTAACAAATATAAATAAATTTTTAAGAAAAAAATTAAAAAAATCGTAAATTTTATTATGAAAACTAGCTTTAGGCTATTAAGTAAAGATTTTCAGCACGTAATTTTGCACATATAGAACCCCCTAACCCAAATACGAATTCGAGTTTAACCCTAACCTCCGAAAGATTTATTTTATTTATTACAGTATTAATTAATTAATTTTATGTCACCTAGGGTGAAAATTAGTTAAAATCAAATATATTTACTTAAAATACTTTTGATATATAAATAAATATAATATAATATAATCTATTTAAGTTTTATTATTTTCACCTAAATGATTAAATTTTTTTTCTTGCTATAATATTGTTATTTTTATCTTTAGTAGCCAAAATAATATAATGAACATCACATTCTTTGTTTTCATCACGTTCTTTATTTATCTTGGCACATACACTATCCCATTCTTCAACAGTAATACCTAAAATTTCAGGCATTTGTAATCTAAAAGTTTCTGCCATCTTTATACTATTCAGTCGCCATATTTCACCAATTTTGCCACCCCACCTTTTTTTTTTAAAAAAAAAAAAGAATTTAAAAAATATTTAAATATTTTAAAATGACTAAAATTATAATAAAAAGTATCAAGTAAATACTCACTTTCCATAAGGTATATGCTTACGAGTACAAGATACATTTTGAAATCCCATTTCCTTAAGTATTGGTTCAACTTTTATTATGAATCGAACGTCAATTTCTTTTTGTTTAAATAGAATATCTTCTGATATAAATAAACTGGTTAGACAAAGAAAAGGTTAAATCGAAAAGTATTAAAATTCGACGCATACCAGTTTTTTCAGCAAATGCAGTAATAGTTTTGCCCGCACTTAATGCTAAATAAATAAAATGAATGAATAAATAAATGAATGAAGAATAAAATGAATGAATAAATAAATGAATGAAGGAATGAATGAATTATAATTTTGAACTCAATGATTTCATATACTCACGAAGTATATCTCGATCCACACATTCAAAAATGCCACCCTGTTTTAAAACTCTTTTTATCTCATTTAATATTTGAGACCATTGATGTTGCTTCAAAGCGAAAACCATATATCTCATAAAAACATAATCAAATTCTTCATCTTTAAATGGTAAACCTTCGACTATATTACAAATTTGGAAATTACAATTTTTAGGTTTTATACTAACAGGAAAATTTGGTGAGATATCTATTCCATAAACATTTGCATCTGGAAATTCTTGAGCTATTTCGAAGCTAAAACAATAATAATGAAATTCAATAAAAAAAAAAAAAAAAATTTAAAAAATTTAATAAAATTAAGATTTATTTATTAAAGAAAAATAAATATTTACCTCCAATGACCAGAACCACAGCCAATATCCTAAAAATAATTAAAAATTATCGTTAAATAAGTAATTAAAATTTGAGATATACTTAAAATATATACATACTAAAATTTTACTTCCAGGTTTTATAATTTCAGAAAGTGGTGCGGCATAATTACCATCAAAAGCATGTTTCATTGCAAAATGTTCTAATTGAATCCTGTCTGCTTCTTCCCAATCAGTAGGAAGCTTTTAAATTTCATAATTATTTAATATAATTTTCCAATAATTCCAAAAAAAAAAATAATAAAATTAATTACATACAATATATACTGATGCTTCATCATCAATAAAAGGCCTTCCGCCTATAAGTTTAATATTGGTAGAAGTAAATTCCGATAGAGAAGAATTACAAGAACTATCACTATTTCCCGATGAATATATTTTATCAGATTTGTGACGACGTGCCAACGCGTTTCCCATTTTATTAAAAGAATGATTGGGTCTTACACGAGAATTATAGTGAGTTTTAGGTAAAATTTAAAAGATTGTTAATTATACATAACGGTTAAAAAAAACCCGATAAATTTGAGAATACGAGAAGAATCGCTGAACAAAAAAAAGGTAAAAGGAAATTTTCATGATTTTAAATTAAATTTTAGATGATATATTTGTTTAATTATAATTCTTCTTTAATTATTATTATTACGCATGCGAATGCATCCAATCCTAATATAGAGATCGAATACTACATCGCACCAGTACTTGTAACTTTGCGTAATAATCGTTAGAACGCAAACGCACTTTATTTGTACGATCACCGGGATTGACAAATGATTTTTATTTGTTCAAAAATAATCGTTCTACTTGGAAAAATTTATAATTTATACGTACAGTACCAATATGTAATAATTGTAATACAATTTATACAATGTAAGTTATATGCAAATATTCTACTCCATGCAGTAAAATTCTTAGATTAAAACAGATCTTTATTATTATTATTATTATATATATTGTTTTAATATCTATAATAAAAAAATAAACAAATATACTTGTCCTGATTTGTAAATTGTAACATAACCCCCGTAATTTTACTGATCTTGAATTAATTTAAGCACAACCGAACCGGGAAGTTAAGGTTACGTATTTTACTTGTATAGGATAGTAAATTTTAAGGAATATTTTAGTTGACATATTTTTTTTTTTTATTAAAATAAAAATAACGAAACCAAAAAAAAAGTTTCTAAAAAGTATTATTATCTAATAAAATTTGTTATTTTCTGCATAGCTTACTGTACACTCAATTTTCTGTACATAAAATTCGTAATGCACTTTGTAAGTTTAACCTGCACCTATGTAAGATGAATAAAATAAAGTTTATGAGTCGAATATTATTTACCTTATTCAATTATTTTATTCTGAAAATTATTTATATATGCACATGCGTACAAATTTACAAGAATTTATCAAAACTGCATAGTACATAACTAATAATGCTAATTTACAAAAAAAATTAATTATCGCCAAATTGTTAATGCTAAGTAAATCATATATATCAGATATTAACGAAATTAGTCATTTACAATCTACTTACCCATGCTAATAATTTATTAAAAATTTTACGTACAGTAAGTAAATCCCCGATTTATCGATCAAAAATATTAAACTCAGTTTTTTGTGAATTACATGGAATATTAATTAATTAAAAAAAAATATATTAAAATTGTGAGAATGCTCAAAATGTAAATCATTATCGGACGACCGAACATATTGACTAAAGCATATAGCCCAACGGCTGAAACTATAAAAAGAAATTGCTATTCTAATTAAAGCTAATAAGAATATTCAAACATAAACTATAAAATTGGTTCGACATTTTCCGATCGGGCAATTAAGATCAAAATATCAGTACTTTATTGTACTTATTTGAACTATATTTATTCACTAGTTTATTCAAGAATTAACCATTTGAATTAATAATATAATCAAAAAAGTGCTGATATTTTGGTCTTAATTAACCCTGATTGGAAAGTGTAGAAGGGAGGTTTGGCTGGTCCATGACCCAAATAATACTTCCAACTATGTTAATTACGCTTTTTTTTTTTTTTTTTACTTTTATTACCAATGTGTATCATCTATGTACAGATTTTTATATTTATGTTAATATTCTAACCTTTGTTAAATCAATTTATTTAAAATAGTTATAATATTTTTATCTAGTCATCCGAATTTTGTCGATTATTTAGAGCTTTTTCTCATTTCATTTCCGATATGTACGATATGTAACAATTTATTCGGTTTGTAATCATTACATAAAAAAATTAGTCTCTTGAGTAAAAAAACTTTAAGATTGAAGATTTTCCTCAACTAGTTTGAATTCTTACGCTACATGTTGATCTTAAAAGTTTAATTGGCAAGAATTATCGTATGATTTTTGTTATTGTTTATACGTATCAGGTTTATTATCATACTATAGATGTGCAACCTATCGAATCCCCTTTGTGCACGTACGTACGTATATTAATCTTCATTTATTAATAATTACATATTATTATTTATTTATTAAAAACTATCTTCATTTATTATTATTATTATTATTATTATTTATTTGTTAAAAGCTATCTTCATTTATTGTTAATTACATATTATTATTTATTTGTTTAGGTATATATATTTATCTATATATATTTAGGTACTGTACAGTACGTACGCCTTACGCTTTACATTGCATTATAACTGATAAGAAATAATCGAAATTGATTTTATTAGAAAATGAGAAGTAAATATTTTAAATGCGATTGACGCAGGGTCTTTTATGCTCGTGACGACAAATGGCCTTGACTTGTAACCTCAATAATACTCTTATCATTATTGAGAGATAATCAAATCAAAAGGTAATCTAATCTATCACTATTTGTAATAATAATCCTTGATAACTGAGCATAGTTAATCCGTAAACCTCCCTTGCTGAAGTATATTACTATACCACCGTTATTTAAGAATTGTGTTGAGTTAAATGTACTCAGTGACTTTCCAACGACATTTTCCAGCAAATAACGACACGACACCATGCAGGTACTATAATTAAATATCACTAAAAATATTTACTAAAAGTTTGTTTTATTCAGGGATGCATCGAATGTCATTATTGATATGCATTATAACATGTATTAAAAAATTGTCAGACCCAACAATCATAAATTCTATTCGTGCATTATTTCCATAGTTTGACAACAATAAGCGATAATGGTAAAATAATTCTAAATTCACGAAATAGTTGCTTCAAATTTTTTCAAAAATAATAATTACACCTAATTCTTTAGTTAGAACTGTCTATTACGGTTACAATTTTTATATTTTATTAATCTAGAACTTTTTTGTGTATTATTTCCGATTTACCAAAAGGTATATATAATTAATTTAATTTACCCTTCATTTAAAGAAAAAATTTTTATCATATTTCTTGATAGAATTATGGTAACACCAATTTATTTCCGCTGTTATTACTGATAATTCTTCATTTGGTTCTGTTATTTGTTATTTTTGAATAGATATATATCAAAACTTCATACACAATGAATAATTATGCAGAATGATTATTTCTTTAAATATCAATTAAATCCTTAACTATATATTATTTGTTCTTCACAAGTTTAATCCTTATCTTAATTATATATTATTTGTTCTAATCCTTATCTTATCTATATATTATTTGCTCTAATCCTTATCTTATCTATATATTATTTGTTCTAATCCTTATCTTATCTATATATTATTTGTTCTTCACAAGTTTAATCCTTATCTTATCTATATATTATTTGTTTTTCACAAGTCTATATGGTTAAGCAATAAAAATTTTAGGAATTAGAACAGTAGAATCGTGTGTGTATCAATCACTAACGCTAATTTATTCAAAACCCAATGTTTATAATGTGTACTCATTAAAATTTGAGGTATGTACTCTCCAAAACGTGCACACAACGTGTTATATGCACTGTGTAATGTATACCCTTACAGATATGATCGACACGTGATGATGGTAATTTTTCTCGGATACCCCGGTAAGACTGTGACGTTGAAAAGGTCGGAACTAATGATTTGAACCGGTTGGGCTATAATCGGTTAACCGACCCGAATTGAATAAATTTCGGGTAACCGGTTGAATAAATTCTTAATCGGTTGACCCGTACAACCGGTTGAGTATCAGTAATCGGTTGACAGGATGTAAATTACATCAAGAAGGAGCAAAGGTTCCGAGTACTTCCGAAAAGAAAATAAAAATTTGAGCAAATGCCCGAGAACTTCCGAAGGTAAAGCGTGAAGTAATCTTAATCGATTGACATTAAATATTTCGGTTCGGTTACCCGACTAAGGAATTTTTTCTCGGTTCAAATCACTAGCCGGAACTGGTTCTGGTCAGAACTCGACCGGAAATTAGGTTACGCGAGAGGTCAGGACTAACACAACACTATAAATCCACAATTTAACCCTAAGTGGAAGGCGTCGAAAGAGGCATGGAAGATTTGGTCTGGGTTTTAGGGCTACTCTTGGATTATCCTGGTTTAGTTGGTCTTCGAGGTCACGTGACACTTGATTAGGAATGGGCTACTGCGCAGAAATTTTGAGAGGCTGCGCAGTGTGATTTTAAAATTCAGGCTAGCTGGTATAATTCTGGTCAGCTGGCATAATTCTGGCCAACTGGAATAGAATTATATATCTACTACGTATATGTTATGCGAAAAATTCACGATTTGCCTATCCTTACACGTGATCAAGGTATTTCAGCCTCAGCATAAGCTGAAATATTTCTTTATTATTGGGAGGAGGAATTAGGGATTAGCGAATGTGGTATTGGAGTTATTATGCGAAGAGATTTATTCTCAAATTTGAGATCTTTTTATTAAACTTCCTGTGAGCTCCGTTTATTAAAGGGAAAGATATATTGCTTTTATACTTTTCGTGATATTAGTAAATACTTTACAGAAACATATTTTTAACAAATATGTTTATTATATAAATATAATATAATGAACATATTATATAAATATAATATAATTAATATATTATATAAATATAATATAATTATTATATAATTATTATATGTTATAATATATTTTTTTATGTTAACTTCTTTGTAAAAAACTTATTAAGCATTTTAAGAGATTTATTGATTTTAATAGTTATAATCATTTTATGTATTAAAGAGTAATAAGTCTTTTAAGAGAGATAAGTATTAAAAGATTTATTGGCAAATCCATTATTCAAATAACTATATAAATGGGCATTTTGTCTTTCAATAAAAAAATATCACATTGTTAATAAATTTTTTTTGCTCATAAGATATCGCATTGCTGATAAATTCTTTTTGCTCATAAATAAATTATCCAAACCTTTTTTTGACATATTAAATTGCTAAATAATTTCAATTTGCTTTTGCTAAATTGTATCAACTGCTTTCGTGATAACTTTACGCTACTAAA